CTACTTTTACATATATTGCTGGTATATTCAAAATACTATCCCGAACTTCGGAGTGTATATATGTAATATAAAAAAGAATGAGAGGTACTATAAGAAAATGTACCCAAAATTCTGGAGCAAATGAAAAAATGCTCATTGAAAATAGTTCACATGTATAAATTAAAAGATATAACTTAATAGGTTACAGCGCTAAACAAAAGGAAAAGTTAGAAAAAATAGCAATGTGGTTTGAAGGAAACATGAAGCCATAAAATGCTTGTTTGTTTCGTTAATACTCTGAACTTTGTAAGATATGGCACTCTATTATTTGCAGTAGTTTGCAAATATTCACTAATGGTTCTAAAATCGCAAACATTTTCATGGGATATTTTTGTTTGATTTCGAATTGAAAATACATTACGATCATATTGTACCGAAATAAGTGCGGTATCTCTGCATTTTTGTAAAAGCCAGAAAGAAGCATAAACTGTATGAAAAAATGAAAGGGAAAGGTATACATGCATTCTATAATTTTGACTTATATGTATATTTGGCAAGTCTTTGTGTACACAACAAAAAATACAAATTTTCATTTCTTTGCCAGCTTGGAAAATATAGGCTTATTTTTACTTAAACGTGATATAAAGCTCATTAAAATGTTCTGTAATTTCTTGTTGTAAGTTTGTTATCATAGTTCTTCGTATTTTTATTGTCCACTAAACGTGAGTGGCTTCAATTTAAAAAGTTCTAGTACAAAGAATTTCTTTGTTTTGAATTTGTTTGTTTATTGTTTTTAATTTTTAAAATTCATACTTTTGACATGTATGTGAATGGCGGAGTTGCCGCTTTCCTCCTTTTCGGTGGGTTTTTATATTAAAAAGGCATCAAAATGGGAAAAACCCCCCTTGGTATCTCTGCATCTGTTAAACTTTTTATGGGAAGATGTATGAAAATTCAACTTGCTATAATTTCATATGCTTAACAGTATCACAACAGTATGTTTACAGTATCTCCCCATAACTTTTCATATGAAAAAATTTATTATATGCATCCCACTCGATATCATTGAATTCCTCATTAGAACATGTAGTCCCTCTATTTTAACGTATCAACAGTTCATATGGCTTCATACCATGTAAATGCGCCATTAGTATTGATGTTTTTTACTAAATACCAGGAATAAATATTTAATAAAAAACTATTTCATTTAAGCTTAACCAACTTTTAGTTGCTCGGAGCTAATTTGGAACGCTTCACGAAACATTTTCATAGACAGTAAGTGCAACCCTGGGTGCTTCATTAACGAGCTGAAAAACCAAACAAATAAAAAAATTCCATCTGAACCAATATTCCCAAAAATTATAAAGCAAAACAAAAACCATTTTTTCCAATTTATACACTGTTATTTTTATTATTGCAATACAATTTCGCAGCTCTTCAAACATTTTCCACATTATGCTTTTAGGGCTAGTAGTTTCCGACCCCATTTGCTCGTTTTTTTTTCAATTCTGAATTTAGGCTAGGCTTCATGGGAACTTACTGCGGGTGCAAACAGACCTCATTTTGTAAACTGAATTGTGATATTTAATTTTATCTTATAATGAAAAATGAATTTAATGTGCAATTTTTTAAGTTTACTAGATGTAAGACAACTTTTAATTTTCTTTATATATTGCATGCTTTAGTTTTAATTATGTTTAAGTTAAGTTGTAAAGGTGAAAATAGGCCTCCTGGGCAACGGAGCACATTAAAAAAAAAAATCGGTAACGCGCGTAAAAGCATACCTCACAAGTGGTGCAAGAACAAATATAAATGGAATAATTTTCGAAATTATGAAATGGTTATTGGTATTTTCAATCTCAAAGGGGGTGATTAATTTGAACGTTATTTAAGCTGCCTTTACACGGTCGATTTTTGTCGTTTAACCAAAATCTACCCGTGTAAATTGCAATTCAACCGTAAAATATAAGCGTTTTGGCTAGTCGATATCTTAAGTAAATTTTCCAGTCGACAGAAATCGACCCGTGAAAAGGCAACTTCAGGAATTTTTTAATTTTCTTTTTTTTTTTTTTGCTTGGGCGTCTTTTGAAGATGTGCCAAATTATATTGTCTACTTAAATACAAAACAACAATTTCTTTATGCCATCTTGTGCAGCAATTTGTTGATCTTATCCTCACGGCTACCGAAATCACCAACCTCAACGTAGTGATTAGCCTTCTTGCGCCAGCCTCGGGTTGATCTGTTAAGCTTGAATAGCAACAGGAAGTTGGGGGCTTTCTTGAAGTGAAGTGAATCAACGCACTGAATTTCGTGCGCTTCGCGAAATTTGCGTTCGATCACAAAGCAGAGATTGGGACACGCTTGACCATTCCACGTTTGTACATCAATTCACAAACTGATTTAAGATTTCGATAACCCCATATAGGGGGTTCGGCATACGTAGCATATTAATGGTTGCCTTGCTCAATTTGATGAACACACCGTTTTAATGTGGCGAAGACAGAACTGTAAAACTACGCACTTTTTGTGCAACTTTGTTGATACCGCGGATGCGGATCACAAAAGCCAATTTGGATTTTTTAGGCCCGTCGAATTGGCCGCATTTCTTTGCCACACAGCGCTACTCCATCTCACGGCGTCCATCACGGAGTTTTCTTGTTTGATATTTCTCAGCATGCACCAAGTTTTCACATTTACGGAGTGCAATCACAGCAGTGCGCTTTAGTTTACGTTTGATCAGGGTAGCAATTTGCTGACCTGCTCTTGCAGAACTGCAGCTTCGGCTCGGGGACAGGAGGCAGCTTCCTGGAAGGTTGTCTGCCCTTTGCTTGCGGTTTCTTACCGGCCCATGATGGCAGTCATCTTAACTTGTTACTTAGCACGTTGAAAAGGCGAAAAAAAGTTCGCCAAATGTTTGGAGCACATCGTAAATGAGCCACTCGATTTATAACGTTTCTATAAACAATTTAATTAAATACTTTTTATACATAGATATGCTGCAACCATGCACTTACTTTCCCAACTTCCATCCTGTTTATCGGCATAGTTTTCCAAATATGCCTGCTACTTCGTTACTAATTACTAAATTTTCCAACTGCGCCTTCTTTGTTGGCTCGACATATCCTAAAAAAAACAAATTTACATTAAACAATAGAAATCGCAAAAATTAGCAAATAAAATACTCGCTTTGTTTTGTTTTGTTGTCAAATTTCTGAGAAATGTGAATTCACCACGATGCGATACAGAAAGAACAAGGACCAGGGATGTAATTTTAAGTAAACCTATTATTCAGTGGCAAGGCGCAGAGCGTTCGGGGCAGCAATATTAATTTGTATCAAATATAACATTAAACGGTGGTTCTAATACATTTTTTGATATTATTAACCAGAGTACATACATTATATGATATTTCTTTCAAAATTAATGTACTATATGAACTTTTTTTTCAAATATTTCTTAAGTTTCTTTCATCAGTGCAGAAAAGCAACCATGCGTGTAAGAAATTGTGTGCTACCTAAAATTTCACCTCTGGAAACTTTATCCCCATAAAGGACTTCACCACAGTTTTTTTACTGGATATACTGAGCTTCTCAATGTGTAAGCATTCCGAAATCAAAGCGAGACAGTCTAGTACCATTTTTGTCAATGTATTGTGTACTTGAGTGCCGTTTTTGTATATGTGTTGTGTACATGTTTATTTATAAACATATGTGTTTCTTTTCTTTCGTACGTGTTTATTGATATATCTGTACTGTAGTGTTTTCGGACGGTACTAGCTCTTACTGCCAATATAGGAGTATTACATATATAGCCCTGTATGCAGCTCCCAAGAAAACGGTCAAGAAAAAATTGCCATTATTTCTTGTGTGTGTCCAAGGAATTTTGACATTTTTGATACTTCACAGCCTGTTGCCTCACTCTGTCCTCAAGAAATAATGGAACGGGCATATCTTTCTGTTGCAAACCTGGGTTGCCTTGTGCTTTTTTTCACAAAAAACTTTAGATACCCGTAGTAGAAAGCGTAGTATATTTCTTAAGAACTGCGTACTGCCTTGAGGAAATTTGACTCAAGAAAATTACTTAGCCATTTCTTGTACGTCATTTTATATGGAGTTTTTGCTTTTCTTGAGAACTGCATACAGGCCTTTAGGCTGAAAATCACGTTTATCTATCATAAACGAAGGACACAAGATCACGCAAGAACAAGATAATAAAATGATCGATCTTTGAGCGGGTTCTACGCCGTCATGTTTCGCTGGAAAACGAACGAAATGTAAACAAAGCAAAGAAAACACCGAAAACTAAAATCAACTAAAATTATTGTCAGCCATTTTGAACACACAATTTGGGTAAATTTATTCACTAAAATTCTCTAAAAGTTGTTGTCATGCTCAATTAACTCTTCTTTAATTAAAGAAAAGTGTAACATAGTGGTGCAGTTAATGTAAACAAATGCTCAGCTGACGAACCCGCTTCCACGCGGTCTTGCGTGATCTTGTATATTTGGTTCATAATTATCCATATATGAACGTTTGTTGGTCTGGGTATGGGTTAAGAAGTTTGGCCAGAGTACTTGTGATCGTTTTATATCTAATATCGATAACAACAATTAACTCACATATCTTATGTTTCAATACCACAATTCAATCATTGATTCATCTGTCAGTAAAACGTCAAAAGTCAAGGCTGTATTGGTTTTTTAACGTGTAGGCACGAGTGAGGTAAATTTCTATGCATTTTTTACGATAAAACTTTTTCATGGTAATCTAATGCGTTATTTGGTAATAAATTCTAATATAGCTTCAAGAAAATGTCTGGCCGCGAGGGTGGAAAGAAGAAACCACTGAAGGCACCGAAGAAAGAGTCGAAAGAAATGGATGACGACGAGGTAGCCTTCAAGCAAAAACAGAAAGAAGCGCAAAAGCAACTAGAACAAGCAAAACAGCGTGCTTCACAAAAAGGTCCATTGGTTGGCGGAGGTATCAAGAAATCGGGAAAGAAATGATATCGGCTGTTTATGTATTTATAAATCCGCATTTCCTTCAAATTCATGTCACGCGACCCTATTTATTTCTAGTGACAGAACTATGAAAAATTGCCGAATTAGTAGACTTTATTTAATAAATTTTTTGTAAATGAAAAACTAAGTAAACGTATTAATTTGTTGATTCAGCTGTTCATAATTCCTGCCATGTGTATTCAGCGTCGTAGTACGATTGTTCTGGGTTCGGAAAACTAGCTTGCGTTCCTGGGTGTTGCACGGAGTATGCAGCAACTCTGTTCGCAGCGCCTATTAGTTGATGCCAAGGCAAATCATTAAAACGGGCCATATTAAAAGCCAATGCTCCTATAAAAGCATCGCCAGCCCCCGTGGTATCCACGACCTTTTCCACTCTGACCGCTGGTACATGTATAAACGTATGCGGCTCTTCGCCTCTAACGTAAACTGCACCAAGTGCACCCAATGTGATAATCACATTGTTGGCACCCATTTGAAGCAGTTTCTTCATTGCAGTTTTAGCGTGCCTGGAACCGTTTAAATACATATTTAGTAAATAAAGAATTTACAACAAAGATATGTGGGTGAAAGCATTGTACAAAGTCAGGCATTGCTTATATGTACATGCATAGTATAGTATGTATGCATACTGCCTGCACCCTTTTAAGATACATAATTATGTAATTACTCTAAAGTGGATATTTGCTCACAACCCGTAGTTAAAGCTGCTTCAGTCTCATTTACACAAAAGATGGTAGCGCCTTTTATGAGGTCCGGGGGTGTTTGCGCCAACGCAGGAGCAGCATTTAATATGGAAATACCTTTGAAGGACCGTAAGGCTTCCAGGGTAGCATTTAAAGGCGTCTCAAACTGGCAAATTAACACCTAAGGATATGTTAAAATAAATATTTTGAACTTGACAATTTTTTTTTACTACTTTGGCAGTGTCAAACAGATTCTTTGCTCTTTTAACATCTTGCACACTTAGCAGATTGTTGGCTCCAACTACGATGACTATGTGATTTTCTCCACTATCGGCAACACTTATCTGTGCTATACCAGTTGTCTACAATGATCGAATGACAAAATTTTGGTAAGTAATATTATGTTACTTATTAACCTCTCCCTTGCACTGCTCCACATAGTCGACATTCACGTTCTCTGCCTGCAGTTGTTTTAAGTAATTAGCGCCCCATGCATCATCTCCCAACTATAGCAAACATACAATTTTAGGTAATGATAAATAAATGATATCAACTTTAGAATGATCACTCACTTTTGCTATCATGCCACATTTTGCTCCCTGTCGCGCTGCTGCAACACATTGATTTGCACCTTTGCCTCCGTAGCCCGTCACAAATTTATGGCCATGCAATGTCTCACCGGCTTTTGGAAGACGATCTGCGTAGCTGAAAGAATATATTATTAAAAATGTGCATATAAATAAAATAATCTTGTTGTATTTTACGCTACAAAATCTACGATCGCTGAACCAAATACAAGCACTTCCATTTTTTATATTTAAGAAATTTTGCGAAAGAAATTTGTTGAAAAAATGTATTTTTGTATAGTTCTGTTAGTTAGCTCCACTGGCTCTTGCACTCTATTACGGCTGGACTTTCAATACATCTATTTTTATTTGCATTATCTCCTAGCTTCCCTTTTTTTATTTGAATAAAAGTTTTGTTGCATAGGTATAATCGCGAATTGATAAAAAACACTTGTCGTAATCTTGCATCGTTGTTTACAAATTCATACCTAAAAACACATTCATATGTGTGCTCATGTGTGTATGTATATATAATATGTACATACATATGTATGTATACATATGTATTAATTACAATCAATTTTATTTATTTGCTAATGCTTATTGTAATTGTTTTTATTAACAAGTCATTTTTAAGCAAAAAAAACCAAACCGACTACAATTCTCATACAAACATTTAAGAGTACCGTTAATTTCTTTAAGATCCAATGTTCGGATCTAAACCAAATGTATGGGACCAGCCCTGAGGTACCACTTTTCCTTTAAACAAATAATTATAGAAATCGGTTAATGTGGTCCAAAGTTATACGGTAGCATACATTAAAAAAAATATTCCGAAGAATTGATAACCTCATTTTTTGAAGTCGGTTAAAAATAAATGTATTTATGTACATACATGCATACATATGTACATACATACATACATATATGGAAACGCATTCATTTCTTGTGATCACTAATATAAGCAAGATCAGTTAATAAAACAAGAAAGCCGCATTTAACACTAACAACCTTACGAGAAGTCTACATAGGTATACCCGTATTTTGATGACCGTTTAAATTGTTAATTGTATCATGTATGTATGTTTGTTTGAAAAAATTAAAATTAGGCGTTGATACTTATTAAAATCGAAAAACCTACAGTTCGTAAATAAAGAATTTCTTCAAAATCCTGGGTTTTAATAAATAGTTTAAATTCATCTAAATTATTGATGTAGTAGTTGTTTTTAAATTCTATTAGGCCTTTAGTGAGTAATCTACCGACCTTTATACGAAGCTGAATTTTGAAAGAAAATTAGTTAGCGTCTCTAAGCTAACGATATGAATGTATTTATATAAATACATGTATACCTAGTAATATTAATAAATTATTGTGTGCCGCATTTGTGTATAAAGGATGTGCATACACATCGGTGTTTCCATGAGAATGTAAACCGAAAATGCAAGTAACTGGGTTCAAACGACTTTATAACTTTAAATTTCATATTCATATGGCGAAAAAGGTTATGAAAACGCGAAATTGTGTAGAAAAGAACAAATAAAAAAATTAATTATATATCGTCGCGCGGTAAAAGATTGTCGTAAGCGCCATTTTGAGGATTTTTAGTTATAGATCTAGTTATATATTTTAAAATAAGATCTTTCGGTTGGTGTTATCAGTTTTTGGATATCTGCTTTAGTTTCCGAGATATTGACAATTTTTTTTTCGGGAATTAACTAATCAATATCTTTAAAAGGGCGTTATCCATTTTTGGATATATCCTTGGATTTCCGAGAGATTGACGAAAAAGTATTGTTAATTTAGTAAAATATGTTGACACTTCGCCGTATTTCAAACAAAGTGGTTGTCAAATTGTTGATAAATGTCGATACGACAAAATTTTACTAAAAAAAAACTTTATACACTCATTTACAATAAACAATAATGCCGAATTTTCACTATGCGTTTTAATGAGAAAAAATGCATTCCCACGACAGCCGGTTCTCCGTACCGGAATGACTCGGGTTTTACCCAACCAAGGGCTGTTGTTTCGGCGATCCAACCCCGGCTACATCTTCTTCGCATACTTCTGCTCAGGGGTAGCATTGAGTCAACCCCTGGACCAGAAACATATACCTGCTGCGTGTGCCAGAGACGATTACACCACAACTCCACATCCGTCAGATGCAACACGTGCAATGGGCGGAGCCACCTCCAAGTTTGCTCAGGCCTCACGACTCATAGGCAATGGACCACCGCGTACGTGGCCCCTTGCTGCGCCAATCGAGCTGCCTTCACGGCACAACAGAGTCCGCCTGAGCAACTCAACACAAACAATACAATAGAAATACCACTGACACAACAGACCACACAACCGATACAACTGCACCACCAGCCACACGCCACGGCCAACAACTCGTAGTTCCTCCGACAATCTGCACGGTGTGTCAGTCCAAGATATTCCTAAATGTGACATCAGTCAAGTGCAACACGTGACACTGGTCACTTTGGGGCATGCTCAAGACTGCGCGCCACGCGAGATTGGACGAGGGACTATGAGGGCCCATGCTGTGCTGCTCGGTCGCAATCCCCAACTGCAACGCCGCCCACTTACGCACAGGGCAAGAGCCTCAGCAGCAGCAAGCACAACATGTGGCGGCTCGGCAACACACGTCACTAAAACCTCACATTCCAATAAGTCTCCCTAGGCACACGAAGATTTTACAATTCAACTGTAACGGACTTCAGAGGAAGATCGAGGAGATAACAGTCTTCATGGGTCGGCACGGAATATTAATAGATGCGGCCCAAGAGACGAATCCGCACGGCGATTCAACATTGTTGAATTGCGCCGGATGCAACGTGCTCCGTCGAGATCGCGAGCAAGATAATGGTGGTGGCCTAGCGTTCATCACGCACTACACCGTGCAGTATCGTCTTATCGAAGCAGACATCGAACGCAGGGATACCAACCTAGAATGTCAGGGTATTGCTATCCGAACAGGCTATGTCGAGCTCGAAATATTTAACGTATATATACCCCCTGCCACCAGCTGCCCGGCAGGATATAACCCTGAAATAGGTGCGCTCCTCAGAGGTGAAAACCGTATGGTAGTTGGTGACTTCAATGCGCACCACGAACTTTGGCATTCAAGCCTGTCAAACGATCGTAGGGGAACACAATTGGCTGAGCAGATAGCCGATTAGACATTCTGCACAATAAACGACGACGCACCCACCAGAATTATGAGCAGCTGCTGCAGCTCGGCAGACCCAACAATAGTCAGCGCTGGTCTGATAAACAGCTTATAATGGCGACCTTGCTGACTTTAGCATCATCTAAATTGATAAACCAGCCGACTTTGCTTCCGCGGATCGCCGGACCTATGTCAACTTTTCTAAAGCTGATTGGAAAGGCTCCGCGAATGTTACTCGAAGCGCCTTCGCTGCACTACCCACACCCACTGACGTTCACCTAGGTGAGCGTAAATTCCGCAGGGTTGTAACTTCTGCTGCAACGCGCTTCATCCCAGCGGGATGCATCTCGGACCCCCGTCCGAATTTTCCTGCTGAAGCGGCTGTCCTAGCCGATGAGCGCGACAACCTTCGTCAGGCCGATATCGAAAATCCCCGTATCAGGGATCTCAACTCGGAGATTCGGCAACTTGTGAACGTATATAAGCGGAAGAAATGGGAAGAGCATCTGAAGACCTGCAACTTCGCCTGTGGTGTGAGTAGCTTTGGTCAACTGAAACTGGTTGAAATAGACTTTGGTGACCACGCTTCGTCGGACCCGGAGCGATTCGCGAGCTATTTTAGCCGGCAGCTCATTCTGCATCCTCCGGTGGATAAAGCCAAACGTCGAGCGACCAGAAGGCTGCACAAACTGCCAAAACCTAGTGCGCCTCTTGCTTTCACCAGCCGTGAGGTAAGGGTAGCCATCGGGAAGGCGAAAGCCTCCAAAGCCGTTGGACCCGACTGAATATGCATGCTGATTATAAAAAATTTGGGTCCTACGGGAGAGGCGTACCCAACGGAGGTCCTCAATTTTTGAATTGACACTCTCGTCATCCCAGACATCTGGAAGATGGGGAGAGTGGTCCCACTGCTCGAACCGGGGAAACCAGCCAACAAAGGAGAATCTTATCGTCCGATAACACGCCTTTCCCCGGTAGCAAAGACACCAGAGGCCTTGCTACTCCTGTATTTTACAAACCACCTGACCCCGGCGAAGCATCAGCATGGATTCCGTAAAGTGCACAGCACTTAACGCCATAAATACCCAGATAACTTGTGGCCTTAACCGAGACCGCCCCTGAGGGAGAACCATTCTTGTAGCGCTGGACCTGTCTAAGGCAATGGTTCGACAACGTCAGCTATTCAACACGACATAGAGGCCTCCTCTCGCACAGGGACACAAACGGTGGTCGGCGAATTATCTGAGTGGTCGTCACTCGTCAGTAACTTTTAGAGACAAATCTACAGGGTGATGTCCTTTCCCCATTACTGTTTAACTTTTACATTTCAAAGCTCCCTCAACCACTAGAGGGAGTCTCGATAGTCTCTTATGCTGACGATTGTTCGATCATGGCATCTGGGAATGGAATTGATGACTTATGCTCGAAAGTAAACGGTTCTCTCGCCGAGCTTTTTCGCTTCCTCACTGCACGGAGCCTAACCCTCTCCCCTACAAAATCCTCAGCCACACTTTTTACCACCTGGGCGAAGGAGGTCGGACTACAACTAGGAATTCAGCCGGCAGCCAGGACTAGCCGGCAGCACCTGACGCTAAGACAAAGAAAAGTTGCTGGCAACGTACAAGGCAATTGGCCGGCCGGTTTTGAACTACGCAGCGCCCGTGTGGTCACCGGGGACTAGTAGGACGCAGTGGATGAAGCTGCAGACTTGCCAGAACACGGCACTCAGGACAGGGACAGGATGCATTCTGATGTCGCCCTGTTAAGGAGCATAACAAAATGCTTTGCAAGCAGTTTCTGGTTGGGAGCCACAGACGTGGTCATCCCAACAGACAACTCCTTGCAGAAGAACTTTCGCCCAGGCACGTCAGAAGGCATCTCTACGAACTGACGGACGAAGTCCACAGGTTCATAAAAAAACCTCTGGACCCGACATCTTATCGCCATGCCTTGAACGGAATTCATAGAGAGGCAGTCTCGAGTTATGTAGACTCCCGACCTGTGAATGCCGTTCTGGGCATACAACCACCAGACGTGGACGAGACCGAACGTCGTCTGCCTCGTGAGACTCGGACCACAATAGCCCAACTGCGCTCTGGTTACTGCAGCAGGTTGAGCTCATACCTGAGCGTGACTAAACGAAGATGTTCTCAATGAATGCCCGGCATGCGGAGAGTCGCCCCATGGGTCACAGCACCTCTTCGTATGCCCTCTAACTCCCACCTCTCTAACGCCCCTGTCCATATGGACAGACCCCGTCGAGGCTGCACGTTAGTAGAGCTTGACGACAACGATTGAGGGACTAACCGATCTGGGCGGGGTTGTTGTAGCCGCTACAACAACAACAACACCATGAGAAAAAATGTATGTAATTTACAAAATGCCTTCTGGAAACATACGTGGCTATTTTTATGAACGTAATGGCATGGGTATTTTTTAATGCCCAACATTGTTATTAAAAATATTGTCATTTAAACACGAATTTCATAGCGAGATAAAAAATGTGCTGTTTCACGCTCAGCTAGTTTAATTCTCCGATCATTTCCTGTAAGGGTATGTCGTACCGCTAAGGGTATTCAGGCGTTAATGCGAAATGCATTGCACCGGTGGAAAATGCGAAATTGTATCAACAGCAACACAGCCGAAAGTATCGCATCAGTCATTGCATTTAAATATTTTCTAAGCATAAGCAAATGCAATGACTGATGCGAGATTTTCGGTTTTTTGTTGATAAAATTCTTAATTTTCACATTTCACACCTAATTCAATTAGGGTATTCATCTAAGCGCTTAAACGTTGCGTAAATTTTGAAAATTTCAAGAACTTTCTGTCTGTGCGCGAAGTTATTTATACCAATTAGTGAACTTAAGCGCAAACTTAAACGAGGGGTAAATTCGGTATACAAATGTTTAAATCTAACTTACCATAATTTTTATCGAAAATATTAAACATTTATAAATTACATGCATCGTAAGTTTATACATTTAAATGAATAAATCTAACAAATTTTTCCAAAAATTGTTAATTTCTAATATCAAAAGTTTCTTAAGGAATTCACAAGGTGTTTAAAAAATAAAAACAGTTGACAATGTTTTGTGGTTTTTTACGAATCATCTAAACTTATTTTTACTGTTAAACTATTAAGACACGATTATGTGACTCGTTCTAACAGCTTGTGAATCCCCTAATTACGAACATAAATTAAAAATACTTTAAGCAACATTTAAATCTCAGAAATCCACAAAGTGACACTATTATTATTTGAAGTTTAAAATTAAATACCTTCATCCAAAATACATGCACTATTTGTTATTCTAAATTAACCCTATTAAACACTAAGCTGGATTTACATGAGGCGATTTTCTAGGCGATTCAACATTGCTCCAGAAAAATCGTTCGTGTAAATGGTGACTCAAAAATCGCTTGCCTCAAAGTAGACAGCAAGCCAACTTTTGCTTGCGTTATCGCCTGCCAAAATATTGTTTCATGTAAAGGCAGCTTTACGTTCCTACAATGAGCACACATGTAAAAATTTTAAAATTGTAATAGAATGATTATAAATAGTTTTAAAGATAACTAAATTAAGAAATCGTAAACTTTATAAAAAATATACAAAATTAAATAAAGTGTTACCTACTACATACTTCAATTAAGATTTAATTAATAAAGATTTTTTTTCATTGCCGTAAGGTGTAAGCAAATTTATATACATAGCTTTAACAAAAATAAATGTTCAATGAAAGTTTTATTAAAAAAAATATATTTTTTATACTATTAACAAAAAAGTCGAAATACATACATATATTTTTAAATATTTGTTTGACATCCCCTGTTATATAACAATATACAAACGTATGTACGTACCGATTCCCAATTTTTGACCGATGCCGATGCTGATGCCGATTAAGCGGCCTTAGGGCAAAGAAATGGCCGATGCCGATTCTTTAAAAAAAAACAAACAACCTGAATATAAATTCATTCAAGAACAAATCTTTTTGATAAACTTTTATAATAACAAAAGGAAAACATAAAAAAATAACATTACAAAACAAATAATCATTCAAAAATCTATTCACTTATTTATGTATGTACATACATAAATATGTATTAAAAATAATATATCCCCTATGCATATATAACATTGCAATACTTTGTTCCATAGTATGTTTCTTATTCAATGTTAAAAAAATAGTTCATACGAAATCACACTTCTTATAGCCTATTTCCACCAAAGGCTTAACTGCAGTTAAGAGCTCAGGTAAGAGCCAAGAATTTTACTGTGGGGTAATCGACAAGGTTTATTTCTTAATTTTTGCTTTTTTCCTTTCGTTAGCTTCTACTTAATAGGTGGAATTACCACCTTCCAGTTGTAATCTATTTTTTTTCCAGTAGGCATAAACTGCAGTTAAGGCTTGGTGGAAATCAATTATTAGTTATACTCATGGTAGTAAAAATATACAGCTTCTGCTGACTATAAAGGTGTTGTATTGAATACAATTCGTATGAAAGTATTTTTGTATCGTAACAAATTTAACAATCCAGTAAAAAGAACCCGAAGGATTTAGGAATTCAGCGATTAATTCAAGGAAAATCGTACCTTATACTAAGGGCCAGTTTTTCAGTGCCAGTTTCAACTTAGATTAAGTAAACTGAGTTTAAATTGAACAGCTGACTGGTAGCCCATTCAAATTGCGTGAACAAAAAACTTGTGAAAGATCAACACTTACCTAGGTACTTAAACTTGCACTTTATTATACTAAAATTAAAAAAAAATGCGTACTAAAAATAATTCTAACAAATCTGATTAAACGATTTCAAATTTTGATGAACATTTGTTAAAATTGCGGAAAAAGTAAAAATAATCGGCTAAAAATCAGCCAAAAACGGACGATGCCGATTAATCAGTCGTACTCTAGTATGTATACTAGTCAGAAAACTTTCAAAATTTAATAAAAAAATATAAATTTTAAGAAACCCTCAAAAGCAATACATTTTTAATGAAGATAGGTATAAGTTGCAGTATCGTCGGAACAAAGTCAGTGACAAAAGAACTTTAATAAAATGTAAAGATTTCTTATTTTTTATACATATATACATATACAGTTTTTAAATATATGTATGAATGTATTTTTCTTTCTAAAAAATATGTGCGATTTCCATTCTAAAATGAATGTCGTTGAATACCCAATTTTGGTTTTGACAGTTCAATCTGCCATTTGAATACATTTTTTTTAACTATGAAAATTGAATTTTTCTTAACTATAGGTAAAAGTAAAGTATTTTTTTTTAATATTAAATATGCTGCGTAGTTAATCAAAATCACGGCTAAATTGAAGTACATATTATTATTTTAGAAATCCCGAATCGAAAATGCTGTATTAGGCAACGACGAAGCAGTGTTGGTTAAGCGATCGGTTCATAAAACCTCATTAGTTTGGCGAAAGTTTAACATAAAAGTTGAAGGTTTAAAGTTGTAATGGTATTGCAAAATAAAGTTTATAAAGAGTAATCTTCGCTAGAAATCCTATTATAAATGGATCAAAGAGGATCTATTAAATAAAAACCAGTGTTGGTAAAACGGATCTTTTTCTGGAGCTTCGATTTTTTTTCATCTTTAACATAACGCCCAACGCAATTATTTAGACATAACGACGCAACGAATAGTTCCGTTAAGAAAATGCTCGCAACCTTAACTTTGGCAAACTTGTCATAAATTGTATGCCTATGTTTTGTATCAACTGCTACCTTCGAGTCATGTGTAAACTCACCATAAAAATGGCCCATGTAATTCAATTAAAGTTATATGTATTTGGAACGCCGTTTATGCGATCTACAACCACTTTGTTGGAATCGGAGATATATATATCTATATCTCATTTCAAGCTCTTAATACAGACCACTCTATCGCCGAACGCACTCCCACAATGATGCCACCCCGCGCGATTTGCAACAGGGAGTTGCCACCTCCAGAAACCCACGAACAAATAAAAACATTTTTTTATTGCGATATTTCTTTATTGGCAAATCAAAGTAACTTACATTTTCTAGTGCGCAATCAATTAAGGAAATATATATGTTAGTTATCCTTAAAGGCATTGAGTTTAAGACAATATAGATTTTACAAATATTTGCTTGTAACTGATGTTCCAATACATATTTAAAAGGGTGCATTAGTTATGGTCTTCTCAAAAACTATTTGCATATCAATAACTGATTTTAAAATTCAAAAGATATATTTTAATAAAACAAAAGCAATCATACTTCACCTTTATCAACTTCACCTTTATCAGAGTTTTATACATGAAAGTAAAACTTTTATATAAACATAAAAAAGTGGTTTATTTACCAACTGCTTGTTTTTTCGTTTAGAATTGTATAAATAAGATTTAAGTAGGCTTTTAATGTCTACGATAAAATACTTAATAGATACATACGTAACTTAAAATAACCATAATTATGTTAACAAAGTTGAGAGATGTTATTTCGTTTTCACACTAATTCACCACTATTGAATTACTTTACAAATATGTATATGTATATTATATGTATATGAATTGGGATATATACATATATACACATATCTATATTGTATAGTTATCGTTAATATTATAATAGGCATCTATGCAAGTACGCTATGAAATTAGATAAATTGGTAGTGAAGTATACGGTTCTCAACACCTACGTGCTAGCGCGATTTCGTATTTAAGTGACTTTTTATAAATGTAAATTGGTCTGCATTTAATAACGAATTTATGTAAATGATGTTTATACATACAGTAATTACATACAAATGTATGTACCGCCACTGTAACTTAGGAAGCCTGAGAAACATTTTTTCCATGACATAAAATTTATAACAAATTTGCACAGTACGAATTTGAACTTTTTATGGTATTGCAAAAAATGTTAATCGACTTTCCTAGACTGCAGTAACCTAATGACTATTTTTTTTTTTGTTTCAAACATACCTAAGTAATTCAATTACAGTTTGTGAAGTTGGAAGCTCGCTGGAGCTTCTCGTTTACGCGTTTTTTGTTTTATAACTTAATTTTAAATTTTAATTTATAACGAATTAAAGTAGATATAATATGGTCCTGGATATACATACAAAATGTGTACTGAATTTCTGGATTGTGCCGTTGTTCCTTTGACAACTTTGCCTATTGGATTGTGTTTGCTGGCTCAACAAATGAACTTTGCAATGTTAATGAATCCACTATTTGTAGCATTATTTCTACATCCTTCGCTGAGTTTACCGTACTGGGTGCCCCGACCAATTTAACATTTTTGCCTTCAATATTGGTGAAGAAAGTCCTATTCTTGAATATGACCGCCCTATCGTAAGGAAGTCTCGATTTCGTACGATCATTTACTGATCGACGAAACATAACGCACGAGGGTTGATAGCGACCACGATCCTGTTCTGCGATGTTATATTCACTTATGTCGCCTGTATAGGTGATCAGTTTGGATTTGGCAATCAGTGTTGGTGATAATTCATGCAGAGTTACTTTACTCTTCCAATTTTCGGTTGGTAGTTTGATATGGCTCGCTGCGTTGGCCAATTTGATAAGTGGTAAATCGAGTATGTTCCGGGTTACTTTTGGCGCTTCTTCTTCGGACATGATGACATACCACGTTTCAAAACAGGTTATCTTTTTTATAATTTTATCTCCCTGACGTGATATCACCACTTTTTCCGGTGAGGGCTTTCGCTGTACTACATTTTTTGCTGGCTTCCGATTAAGTGCTGTTAGTGAATTCTCTTTTGCTGGCGGCGTCGGCTTCTTTGCTTGGTATGGAGTGCTGGTAGGAGGCTTATGTTTACTAGTCTGAAAAGGATCGTCCGGATCATACTCATCTTCCTCCGCTTCGACTGTATCATTTACATCGTTTTCGTTTTCGTCTTCCTCATTGTCTTCGTCATCACCGTCAAGAGATAGTGGATAAGTTTCATCATCTGCCGAATCCTCAAAATTAGCAATCATCGGCTTAACCGGCTGAGTTTTTTTCGCCACCATTGAATTGAGTATTCGAGGGGCTGGTTTATCAGGTGAAATGCTAGAGTTAACTTTGCTTCTTTGTCCAATACTCTCCGATGGTGATGACCTTTTAAGTAGTGTATGATTAAGGATTTTCTGTGCTGGTTTCCTTGTTGTCGTTAAAGGGCTCTTTGAACGAGTCACTTCGCTGGCCTTATCTGTAACCAAAAGCTTGCGGCGGCCAGGGCCCGCTTTCTGTTCACTTACGTTGCCTTGCTCTGGTAAGTCGTAATCCACTTTCATACTCTCATCTGGCTTTTGCGGCTTGCCAGTCTTTGAAATTAATACATCCCCTTTTTTATTAATTATATCATTGATGTTTACGATTGTAAATGTGGGCATTGTCTCGAAGTCATCCACAGTCATCGGAGGAACATGCACTGGCTTGCTCTCAGGAGCTTCCTCCACATTGACTACTTTTGCTACCTTTGGGGGAGCAGGCGATGCGCTTCGACGCTTTGCCACGGCTAAAACACGAGTATTTTGTGTTTTAGCTGGCATTGTTATCAAAGTGCGCGTTGCGGTTGTTGATGGTGGAGCAGTATTAGTAGCATTACGTATTGTCTGAAGAGATTTAGTTTGCTGCTGCAATCTGATTGAGACGCTATTGCCATCGATAAGTGTACGTTTTTCAATAATGGATGCATTGCGCTTTGGTTGTTCTTTATTCATATTTTCCGATTTTATTTTCGTTATTTTGCTGCCATTGAGCGTTTGATTCGCCTTTCGCACTATCATTGTAATGTCATTAGTACTTAATTTTTTGTTGTCACGTTCAGTCGCCGACTTTGTTAACAAGAATCGTTTGCGAGCAACACTTGCTGCTTCGGCGTCATTATCACTGCTGCTGCCACCGGTCACAGAGTCATTACGGACGCGTTTGATTCCTGCTAATGGCTCAATCGAACGATTCACGCTGGCTGCAAACGATTTCCGTAGCAATTGTAGCTGCGATACTTGGGCTTTATGCACGGGCGTTGCTGTGGGCCGTGGCGTTGATGTGGGTCGTGGCGTTGATGTGGGCCGTGGCGTTGACGTGGGCCGTGGCGTTGGTCGTGGCGTTGGTCGCGGTGTTGATTGTGGTGTGCTTGAGGGTGTGGCCTCCATATTTTTCCGTGATCTACCACGCCTTTTTAACGGTGTATCTCTCATTAAACCGTCATCTGAGAAATCGGAATCTGAATCCTTTTGTATTTCCTTGTACATTTCATCTAGCTCATCATCCAGATCATTGGGACCAAAATCGTCGCTAGAGTCTTTATTAAAGAAATCTTCTGAGCTACTTGTTGACTTTTTACGGGTTTTCTCCGGAAGAGCTAATGGTCTTTTGGATGATGTTCCAGCAAGAGCCGACACGTTTCTTATTATCTTTGGAGTGACCATATCATCGCTTGCATATTTAGGGTTCGGCTTAATTGCTCTTCTTGAGCGTCCGGTGGCTATGGTGGATGGAGGTGGTTCCGGCACAACAACTTTAGCTATTTCAGTTTTCTGAACTTTCACAACTTTCACAGGAGTTTTAAATTTATCCTTCATCTCTTTGGCTTTTGCTGTCAGAGAAGATCTAGGAGTAGTAGAACTTCCGGATGCTGCTGCGCTACTGCTATGAGCAATTGGCCGCTTCTTCAAAGGCCCTTTGAACTTTTTCTCATCTGAGAGTATTTGTATGTTTCCACGTGGACTTATCCCACTACTTCTAGTTATTTTTATTGGTGGAGACGAAACTTTTTCCAATCGCACAACACAAGAGCGCGTTTTCTTCGCCTCCACGACGGTAGCTTTCTTACCAACGCGCATTCTTCCTTCGCATGTATTTTACTGAGGATTGGATAAGTGTAATACATAAGTAATTATTAATTAGATTAAATAAAATAACATTATATACCGAAAATATACAAAAAGAATTGAAACTAATTATACTCCTGCCTTAATTTCTCGCTTACAATAGCAATTTAGTGTGTAACTAACATCCCCTAACGACGATATGACCGTGTGGCAACTCTTTAAAGCCTTCCTCCGAATGTCAAATATTGGCGCGAATCACATGAACTACTATGCTAATCCTATTTCTGAAACATTCCACTAAAATTCCTCAGACCAGTGGTCAAACCAAACACAGAGCCCCAACAACGTGAAAATAGCGACATAGAATTACCTTCTCAGCTTACACTACTGTACCTCAACAAAAGCCAGCAGTGAAATAAAAGCACAATACCAATTGCACCAAATGCTTACATTTTTACGAAAATTGCAAATATCCACCTATTTAAAAGCAATTTGGCTCTCAGTCGTTCAACCGCACAAGGAAAGACAAATTGATCAGTTTAATATTGCAGAAAACGTAGGCTGCTGCTACACACTCGAAACAGCCAATGAACAAGATGCGCTGCCGCATCCAAGAGGCAGCGTAATATTCTGAAATGTCTACCTTCTGTGAAATATATGTATATCTAATTTGATACCACTGTTCAGCAAATTTTGTTCACAATTTTAATGATGCTATTGTATTTTTACAAAGATGCCTTGCGCTGATTAACCAACGCTTTATGACATTTCGATGTGAAGAAACGCAATCGCAACGATATTTTCACAACACTAATTTCACTTCACGAACTCAGTTAACTGTGTGCGAATGTGACACAAACATTTGGTGGCGGATGACAAAAATGGCGTCAATTTGACATTTAGAAGGCGGTATTACATAAGAGGGACAGAGATCGCCTGCTTTCGGGGTCAGGGTTGGAGAGTTGCATTTTGGGAAAATGGCGGCCAGCGCATTAATTACATCTATTCCAATTTCGTTCACGACATTCTTGCCCGTAGACTGGCGTAAAAGTTGAAAAATAAAACATTGCCTTTTATAAATTTCTTACATTGACGTAAGTCAAAGTTGCATTACAGAATTTTATCAGAAAACAAGCTATTTTCATCGAATGGCAGAGTATCCACGCCTGCAGGAAAATTGTAATAGCTTCCTTTGGTAAAAGCGTATGTCAGATGAAAGCAATTGAGAAAAACTCTACAGTGTCAAAATTGATAGTCCAAATGTCTAAACAAAGCAAAGAATAAAAAACAAAAACTTTGTAAATTTCAGCGAATCATTCTGGAAAAGTTGTCAGTGCATTTTTTGGACAATTAACTTGTGTGCGTATACTAAAAATGGCGAGTCTAACTGGAATTGAAAATTTATATAAAGAACTAAAAAGCGAGTGGTCTAAAAAGCCACAAAATCTTAAAAAGTGTGGCCAGTTGGTAGACAACTTGAAGGTATATTTCCTCTATTCGAATATAACCTCACAAGCGGTTCAACTTCACAATTATTTTTCTTAGATTGAATTGACTAAACTAGCATTTTTACCAACTGGCGATATTAAGACGTCCAAAAATGAAATGGTATTAGCGCGTGATGTCCTTGAAATTGCAGTCGAATATAGCGTCGCAAACAAAGACATACCAGCATATGAACGGTACATGTCTCAGTTAAAGTGCTATTACTACGACTATAAGTACGTAAAATTAAACTGATAAAAAAGAAATTATTTATACTTGTAATAATTCGTTAAATTTTAGGCAACAAATTGGCGAGTCTGAGAATATGTACAAATTACTGGGTATAAATCTACTATACTTGCTATCAGTAAACCGAGTTTCTGAATTCCACACCGAATTAGAACTTTTGTCAGCAGATACAATTCAGAATAACAAATATATTCGTCCAATTTTAGCTTTGGAACAATATATAATGGAGGGGCGATACAATAAAATTTTCCAGGCAAAGGTATTCGTTAATATTGTACATTGCATCGAATAATACTGTATGTAGGTACTAAGAAAATTTTATTTTTACGTTTGTAGAGTTCAGCACCGTCGGAAATTTATAATCATTTTATGGACATACTGCTTAATACCGTGCGTGATGAAATCGGCGCTTGCATTGAAAAGTCGTACGAAAAGATATCCGCGAAAGAGGCAGCCAAACGATTAAACTTAAACTCGATTGAGGAAGTAAAAGCTTTTGGACAGAAACGAAACTGGAATTTAGGCTCCGATGGTGTTTACAATTTCGTAGAAAAAGTTGCAAAACCCAAAGAAGCGTTACCATCTGTTGAGTTGGCAGAGCAAGCTATTTTCTATGCCCGTGAATTGGAGATGATTGTATAAACTTAAATTCACATACATACTTTCATAACATTAATAATAGTTTGTACACAATTAATAAAATTTAATTTTAAATAATTAAGACTTTATTTTCGCAATTTTTTCCGTAATTCCCACAACGGCCACACATTTTACTTTTTGTTTGCCGAGGGTTGTGGCAGACGGTACTTTGCAATTTCTACTTCAGCTTCGGCATAACTAAAACGGTTGAAAGAATAGTACTCTGGCACCTTATATTCGCTAGTGTGAGAAGCGCCGGGACCCAATGGTGTAGATGATGGCTTTACAATTTTGCTGCTCAAGCCAGGCACATTAGCATTGACACTGGCACTGCTACTGGAGCTTTGTGGGGTTTTCACTCCTGCTGCCTGGGTATATGCCCGACGGGCAATTGTACACAGAGAACACGGGTGACGGAACATTATCCCCTTTTAAACAATTTAAGGATTTTGGCAATATTTTGCACTCGCTAAAAATAAAATCCAGTTCACGTAATCACAGCTGATTAATGACTTTTGAAAATTTTGCAGAGATGCATTAGAATTAATGGAATCGAACTTTTGTGTCATGTAAAATACAATCGATTAATTTCATCGAACTCTTTCAGCCCTACCATTAACTCCATGTGAATAAATCGTTCCCATAATTTAACATGCAAAACAAAAACAAATTGGGAAAAATTGTTTTTGTTTTGCTTTGTAATTTTTGGGAATATTTGTTCATGTAAAATTCGCTATAGGGTCGTTTGTTTATTTTAATATTCATTTATCAGCAAAGAGTTACATTAGTACAATAAGAATTATGTTCTTTTTTAGTACAACAAAAATTTGTATGTATGAAGAGAACATTAGGGTAATTACCTGGGTGGGCTTTCAACCCCCAAATTAATCAAAATTTAGGAAAGAGGGTACCATTAGACGCGCCTGGACTCTAGGAACAAGAATCCGGACTTTTTTACCTGATCAAAAGTTATTAACAAAAAACGCTTAGTAGTTATTACTGCATTTTGGCGTAGACTTCTGAGAGTACCATAAACTTTATGTGATCAGTGCAGGTCAAAGACGGGTTAATTATAAAGCCCAAATTGGATATTTTATTAAATTGTAATGGTTTACATATTACCAATAACTAAAAGGGGTATGGCAGTAATATTAAGTTTCTTCTTTGAAATTGGTAATACATATGACTTACTGGAGTTCAGGACAAGACTATTATCCTTAGACCATTGTCAGGTTACAACAAGCGAAAATATTTGATAACCCTTTGAATATTTAAGTTTTTCTACTACTTGAGCTATATTTATCAGAAAACGCTTCCGATAACTAAGGAAAATTAGTCTTGGTGCCTTCCATTAATATAAAAAATTACAATATTACATATATAATTTTCACTTTATTGAAATTATTTCATATTTCATTTCTTTTTCTTTAATTTTGGCTTAACAACACCATAATTCTGGTCTATTGCGGTTACAGGAGCACGTTTCTTTTGCTGTTTCTCCATCTTTGATTTACTCCGGCATTTCACAGAAGCAGCACCTGTCTGATTTTTGCCCAACTGATGGAATTTCTTACGCTCTTCCCGAATTTTCTTTAAACGCTTACGTTCGCCTAATAACTCTTTGTAGTTTTTATACTCTTTCTTTGGTGGCTTTGCCCCCATTTTGATAAGTTGGAATGTTTCCATTTTCTTTTTGTTTTTGATAACTCGCTGATTATTCATAGCAAATCGAAGTACTTCATTACGAGCTTTCTTGATATCGAATTCCTCCGGTTCATCTTTAGATTTGCTCCTTTTAGTACCAACCCCATCGGGATTCTGTGGTCTCTCCAATGTATTGTCCTTTGTCGGGGGCAGAGGTTTTGTGGGATCTTCAAATATGAGTGCTTGAAAGTCACTAGTTTGATTTTTCCGTTGTAATGCTAATGTTGCCCGTGTTGGGATTTGTTTAAAGTCCGTGGCCAAATTCATTTTTTGTTTTGATAGTATTTGTTTACGTTTTGTACTTGGAGACGTACTGTTTTCACTGGGGCTTCGCAAAACGTGTTGACTTTTAAATGTCATTACAAAATGGTAGTTGCCAGATTAACTGGCCGCCTTCACGTGGTGCAAAATCTCGCTTGCGTGATCCCACAAAAAGTGCGAAGGGTAATTTTTCTCGGATACCGTGCGGTTTGCGAGATTTCGCATGCTTTCAACTCACATTTTTGTTGTTTGACAGGTATTTATTCATTTCGCAGAATCCTTCAGAGTAGAAAAATCGTTTATTTTGGTGGAAAAAAAAATTTAGCCTGAAAGCTCGAATCCTCTTTTGGCGACATTGAAATTAACTCAAAGTATAGCAGGATAAAATATGGAATTAAAAGACGTGAAGAATAAATATGTACTCGCGTTATCCACAATTCCTTAAAAAGGCACTTTGAGTTCCTGAAAATGAAAAATTAATGTCTTCTTAAAGCGAAGATACACAACATGCGTTCGCCGGCAAATGCGTCACGCCGTAAATGTCAAATAAAGTTGAACACGTGTATTTGTATGACAGCTGTTACAGACGACGCCGTTACGTTAACGCGGTTGCCGTCGAAAGTAAACCAACTCGCTACTTTTCTATTGCGTTCATGCATTGACATTTGAAATTACATTTGTGGATATGCTTATCAGCTGTTTTTTGTTTACAAAACAATGAGCGGCACAACGCAAGGTGTGTAACAACAAATTTTTCAACGTCGTCAACGCACCAACGGATCAACGCAACGCCGCAGCAAATAAAATTATGTACCTTCAGCTTTACAAATTACAGCAAGTATGGCATCACATTTTCAGATTAAATTGTTGTTGGCCCTCGAATCGGCCATGATTTTTTCCCCTTTTTCTTCACGTTTGCTGATCAAGTGGGTGAACCTATTTTTTACAAATATATTTCTTTCGCTACTTTGTTGTGCAAGAAAATTACAACGCAATCTCCTATTAAACAGCACATTTTGTAGGAATACGTATTATTAAAGTCGTCGTTCAAGTAATTACCAGCTGTCTCGCTTTCAAACATGGCCACGGCTGTAGGTGCAGCCTCATCGATTAAAAATCCCAGTGGTATACGCAGCCAGATATCGAAGGAGTTGCGTGCAAAGGCCAATGATTTCCTTAATTCACGACGCCATGCTAATAATCTGGTCGATATTATCGAGCATTTTCAGGTGAGGAAGGAAACCAAATACTGAGTGATTTATTTCCGCCTAATATGTTGATATATGTAATGTAATAGGTAATCATTTAGCTAAATATAAATTAATTTGCTTATCCTTCAGAATTGTGTTCGAGAAAAACGGTCAATTACTGCTGCTGTTCTGACTTTGGAAGTGATATTTGTGGAATTATTAAAGAGGCGGGAAATGTGCATTGATAATGCGCCCCTCAAGCCAAAAGGTATCGCATGATTAATAAATACTTAATCCGTGAGTTTTTCAAAATTTTCTATATTAGATGATGGTCCTGAAACGAAATATCGCGAATGGTTACGACAACGCTACGAAGAGTCTCTGAATTTGATACTTAATTCTTTCGAACATGAAAAATCTGCTGAAGCAACACAAGCTTTGGTGTCAAGCATGAAATTGTTGGCAGCTGAAGGAAACTATCCATTAGAAAAGTCAGATGAGCCTAGCAAATTTCAAAAGCATCGTCTGCGAAGTATTCTTCAAAAACTTATTTCACCAATAAAGTCACAAAGTGCTCTGATACAACGTTTCAAAGAATATGCCGAATATTTAGATTTGGTGTTCTATAGTTGGAAGTTGATGCAGCCTCTAGCCTCACGTACCGCCTTTTCTAACGAAATATTTGCTCTGAATTATTTGGAGCTCATAAATGCGTTGCCTGTAACAAAAGATGTGCAAGATGAGCGAAAGTTATTATGCATCACAGAACCTGTTGGAGAATCATCACAACTTGAATGCTTCGACTATGTACAAACTCGAAAATGTATTAACAAAGTATGGCTTTGCATGATGCAATGGACTGATGGAATACTGGAGCCAGTGCACAGACAAATGCTTATCGTATTGTTGGAACGAATTTTGCCTCATTTGGACAAACCTATATTGCTGACGGATTTTCTTATGGATTCACTTGATTGCGGTATGAAATAAAATTTCGAATTAATACAAAAAGTACACATATTGAAATTTTTAATTTAGGTGGTCCAGTCAGCTTACTAGCATTGCAAGGCATTTTCACTCTCATACAGAAGCACAATATTACATATCCAAATATATATGAGAAGTTGTATTCTATGTTTGAGCCAGAAATTTTCCACACAAAATTTAAGGCACGTTTGTTTTATCTGGCGGATATATTTTTAAGCTCTACACATCTACCCGAAAATTTGGTAGCAGCATTTGTTAAGCGTCTGGCACGACTTAGCATAATTGCGCCGCCACAAGATGCTATAATTATTTTACATTTCATTGGCAACTTGATATTACGCCATTCCGGCCTAAAACGACTTATATGCGCACAAGACGCTATTGAAGGTACTACATAATAATCGAGAAGAATTATATAAATTACACCTAATTACTTAAACATATACATCTTTTATATTATTAAGTTTCCCGTGACCCATTTATCATGGAAGAGCGCGATCCCACAAAATCCAACGCTTTAGATAGCTCTTTATGGGAGGTCGTGTCGCTACAGAAACATGCTATACCAGCGGTTGCGACTGCAGCTCGCTTTATTTCGCAGCCCTTGCCAACCACAGAATGGGATTTGTCTTCGGTGCTTGAATTAAACGAGGATGATGTAAGTTATAATAAAATATCTCTACCGAAATAGATTTAATCCGAAATTATATAACGTTTTCTCTATTTTCGTTTAGATATTCGATCAAGAGATTGCCAAAAAGAGCAAGCAATATGCTTTAGCTTTTGAGCGACCACAATCCTTGTATTTAGTGCATGACGATAAAGTAAATCAATACTGGAAATTATTTTAAGCTTTGTTTTGGTATATATATATGAATATGTAAATATTGGGACGTATCGCTAACTGCACTGACATAATAAATGGTATTCTGATACAGAGCATCCATTCGTCTGGCCAGTGCAGTATGCCATCAAAGAGAAGCCGCTTTTGTTTACTTTTGAATTAATTTTAAGATGTACACCTGAATTCTTCAATACGTAAGTTATTTTAACGACAATGTAGATAAATAATAAAGTGTAAATGGCCTATATATTTGTTTGAAATTAACTGCGAGGTTTTTTTATGCAATTTATTTTCCTAAAAACACTAAATACATATATATACAGTATCGGTCATATCTATAGCACGCCATTTCAAAGTAATATTGTGTGCCACTATATTTTAATTGAAAATTCTTAAAAACAAATAAATAATTAATAGTGGCAAACCATTTCACTTTGAAATGACGTGCTATAGATATGACCGATACTGTATATATATGTATATCGTTAGTTATGGCTTTTTTGCATTTCAACGACGGTTTGAGATACGCCCTTTCTATACGACAACTAGCGATATGTTATGTAAACTATTTAACTGTTAACTGACTTCACAAAAAAGAGAAGGTTATCAATTCGTCGGAATTTTTTTTTTTTGTATGTTACCGCATATCCACCTTAACCGATTTCTATAATTCTTTTTTTTTTTAAGTAAGGTGTTACATTCCGTGAGCTCGGATAAGTGTCGAATTTCTAATCATCGAAAGCAAAATATCGCCAAATATAAATTTGTTTTGTGTATGTGTTTCGCCGCACGGCTTCTGATATCAAATTGAAAAATTTTGTTTGAATTTCTACACAAACTCGTATTTGAACGAAACAAAATAAAAGCTGATGGTCAAAGCGCCAAAAAGATGGGAGTTGGCCATCTTTTCGCTTCACGCTGCAGCTAAATCAATCTTTGTGGCATGCTTCGTACATTTTCATAGATTTTATCTTAACTGTCATAGCGAACCTTTTCGCATAGCGAGGCAAGCTTTTTATATGGCATAGCCTTTAGATTCAGTGAGGCTCAGAATTTATGAGTCTAAAATGAATATCTTTCGTCATAAATATGAGTTGCATTCCCCAACTTTTCTGGATAAAACCTTTAAAACTGTCAAAAAAGCAAAAGAAGCCAGAGAAGAGAGTACGGGAACGTTTTCTGGTAAATTCCTGAAAATTCTTGCAATTTCTTGCAAGTTAGAGAACGCAATTCAGAAAAGCGTCATATTTCTCATGAGCCAACTAACAAGATCACGCAATCGGAAAAGAATGAAAAAAGTAAATTTCTGAGCGTTTTTGACATCTGCCTAAAAATGAAAACAAACAAAGAAAACGAAAAAGGCGCGGTTATTGAGTGCGATTAGATTGGTATTTATGGGCTGCATTTCTTTATTCATTCTGAACGTTTGGAATAAACTTTTTTGTTTACTTATTCTTTAGAATGTTCCTGATGATATGTTAACGTATATTTCAAACGTATTCTGTTTATTCCGGCTGTGAAATGGGATTATCCGGAATGTATAAAGAAACGCAGCCATTATAAAATATAAAAAGTGAAACTTGATGACAATTAGCAAAAAAAGTTCATAAAATATGGTTTTAATGATTGAGAGTGTTTTACAATCGCATATTATCGGCACCGGCCGATTTTTCAATGCCAACGTTCTGACCACAAATGTGCACCCACTTTTCACGCAAATTTAAGCCTCTTGGCAAATCAAACAGACGCACAAACTTGTTCCAATCACAAAGCACTTCATATTATATCATAAATATGTAATAAATCAAAATTTCTAATTAAAACCGCTGCAGAAAACACATAAAATCGCTAAAATATCACTACGAAGAGGTGGAAGACGATGTAAACAGAACCAAAAAACATCAAAAACGCTACGAAAACTTTTTTCTGAAAATCGATTACAAATACAACGATGGCGGATTACGTGATCTGTATTCGTTGGTTCATGATATTTCTGACTTTTATGTGACAAAATATTTTGTATTTATGTGTTCATCTACATGCATCTAAAAAAAAAAAAGATATAACATGGGTTTCATCTGAAGAC